CAGCTGTTAAAATAATAGGTGTTAAATAGTAATAGCTGTTAAAATAAATGCCATAAAGCAACACAATAAATAATCAGGAGGTGCTCCTCCTGGAGCTGCACGGTGGCAAAAGCCAAAGGAAAAGCTCCACATTGCTGGGGCTGGAGTGGTTTGGGCACTGGAACACTGGGAGGGGGAACGGCCTGGGAAGGAGCCAAAACCTGCAGGTATTTATGAGAAATCATGGAAAGCAACGCAGTGGGGGTTACCCCAGGGCACTGTGGTTAGTCTGGGGGCACAGGGAGCCCACAGGTGGGTGGGGGCAACACCTACACGATGTCGTTGAGCTCCAGCCGCGTGTCCGGGGGAGGGTTGATCAGGACGTAGGACAGGGTGTTCTGGTGGTCGTTCATCTCATCTGTGAGAGGAGGGGAAAGGGCTGGTGAGGGAGGGACACCCCGACAGACACCCCAACAGACATGCTGACAGACACTGTCCTGGCCCTTGCTCCCCCAGCAAAGGGGTCCCTTCACTGGGAAAGCCGTGGGCAATGGCATTGCCAGCGGGAGAGCACCAAGAACGTCACTGCCACCTCCCTCACACCTCCCCAGCCTCTCCCCCGCCACAGCACGGCCCAGGGGACTGACAGACGTAACTTTTCAAAGTCCCCACTCCCCCCAGAATAAAGTGAGATGTCTTACCTTGGTTCAGTGCAAAAGAGGGAACAGGTTAGTCCTGCTGCGTTAGGTACAGCACAAGTCCAAGACTGCGTCAGGGCAGCCAAACCCCCCCGGGGCCACAGAAACACTCTGCCCACCTCTCTCCCTTCTTCAATTACTCAATTTAGCATCAATCCAGCAACAGGATTGCTTCTTTCCCCTGCCCAAGGGAAACTGCCCCCCGTGGAGTTTCAGAGCCGTTGATGCAATTTGGGGATGGCTCTGAACCACAGTGACCTCCCGGGGGGGCTCGGGGCCACCAAGAGCTGCACCCACGGACATCCACGATGCCAGGCGGGGCCCCTGCGCTTCCCGAAATAGCCAAGAACAAGATCATGGTGAAATGGATGGGGGTGCGAGGCTGCGGGCGGCCAGGAGGGGGGGAAGCTGCGACAGAGAACACGGTTTCACAGACGGGGTGATGGGTGTGGATGGACAGGATGGAGAGGGGACGGACAGATGGACGCCGGGGCAGCGTGAGGAGCACGGCAGGACACCAGCTCACTGCAAGGCTTGTCACTGGGATGCCTCTTTTGGAAAGGCCTTGGTGTTTGATGATTCCAGAAAATGGAGCTCAGTTTGGGGGCAGCAGGACCAGGATCTGGGATCGGCATCAGCTTCGGGCTGGGGGGGCT